CCCGGAAGAAAGTGATTGCAAGTCCAAAACCTTGAAACCATCAAGACTTTCATCCGAGACTGCATCCGGCCACTCGTCAACAACCAAGGCAATGCAATTATCGTACATTTAACTAAACAAAACAGAGGTTTAGTATAAGCTATAAACCCCGTTATAAAAGGCGCTAATGGTTTTACTCAGGTGGCTAACTGACTCTTTTCATAGCTTCATTCTCTGGTTTTCCTGATGGTTTCATCCATCAAGTCTCATTTGCCCTTTCCCCATGTATGAGTGATTGTATGTTTGTTTGTTCAGACTAGTTATCTGTTAGCGTTTAGTTAATAAAATTCTTGTGCACAAATTACATGAGTTTCTGATTCTGCCTTGCAAATTAATGTCCCTTTACGATTCCGATCTAGCTACATGCTCTAATGCTACTGTAAGAAGGTTGTTTTCTGTGGCCACGAAAATATCCTTTCTTAGAGTTGATATGAAATTAAACAAAATGTTCGCTGGACGAACAGCTTGGTTGATGGCAATTTAATTCTGTTACAGTTACTACTGGCAGCCAGTATAAATAATTGTAATTAATCATAATTAATTGTAATTATTTATAGACATTCCCTTTTGAGCTAATTTGCTACAGTGTTTATACATTTTAGTAGTATTTGTTATTTCAATTTAACGTAAAATGTTTAATTGTAATGTAAATTTACACTAATTTACATTAAACAAATCTTTGTGTCTGGACAGGACCATTTTCATTACTGATTGTTGCATTACAGTAGAATTAAGGGGAAAATGTGCTTAATCATGACAAGATCGTTTAATGGTTTCCCCAGACAGATTAATGAGATTAAATGTGGAGCAAATGGAGACTTAAGTCTCCTGCTTCTCAGCAGCTTGCTCCTGAGAGAATAATATCGTACATTGTCCTTCAGAGTTTCAGATAATATCTCAACAATGTCTCTGTGCTGAGATTTGCCAAAGCAATAGTTTGTGATATAAAGTCTGAGATTTCAGAACAAATTCGAACTAGGGGAGTCATAATACGTCAGCATTGATAACCATGATATTAAAAAAATGAAATCCACATTCATCACATACTATAAATATATCTATACTATCTACAGTGGGGCAAAAAAGTATTTAGTCAGCCACCAATTGTGCAAGTTCTCCCACTTAAAAAGATGAGAGAGGCCTGTAATTTTCATCATAGGTATACCTCAACTATGAGAGACAAAATGAGAAAAAAAAATCCAGAAAATCACATTGTAGGATTTTTAAAGAATTAATTGGTAAATTCCTCGGTAAAATAAGTATTTGGTCACCTACAAACAAGCAAGATTTCTGGCTCTCACAGACCTGTAACTTCTTCTTTAAGAGGCTCCTCTGTCCTCCACTCGTTACCTGTATTAATGGCATCTGTTTGAACTCGTTATCAGTATAAAAGACACCTGTCCACAACCTCAAACAGTCACACTCCAAACTCCACCATGGTCAAGACCAAAGAGCTGTCAAAGGACACCAGAAACAAAATTGTAGACCTGCACCAGGCTGGGAAGACTGAATCTGCAATAGGTAAGCAGCTTGGTGTGAAGAAATCAACTGTGGGAGCAATTATTAGAAAATGAAAGACATACAAGACCACTGATAATCTCCCTCGATCTGGGACTCCACGCAAGATCTCACCCCGTGGGGTCAAAATGATCACAAGAACTGTGAGCAAAAATCCCAGAACCACACGGGGGGACCTAGTGAATGACCTGCAGAGAGCTGGGACCAAAGTAACAAAGGCTACCATCAGTAACACACTGCGCCGCCAGGGACTCAAATCCTGCAGTGCCAGACGTGGCCCCCTGCTTAAGCCAGTACATGTCCAGGCCCATCTGAAGTTTGCTAGAGAGCATTTGGATGATCCAGAAGAGAATTGGGAGAATGTCATATGGTCAGATGAAACCAAAATAGAACTTTTTGGTAAAAACTCAACTTGTCGTGTTTGGAGGAGAAAGAATGCTGAGTTGCATCCAAAGAACACCATACCTACTGTGAAGCATGGGGGTGGAAACATCATGCTTTGGGGCTGTTTTTCTGCAAAGGGACCAGGACGACTGATCCGTGTAAACGAAAGAATGAATGGGGCCATGTATCGTGAGATTTTGAGTGAAAACCTCCTTCCATCAGCAAGGGCATTGAAGATGAAATGTGGCTGGGTCTTTCAGCATGACAATGATCCCAAACACACCGCCCGGGCAACGAAGGAGTGGCTTCGTAAGAAGCATTTCAAGGTCCTGGAGTGGCCTAGCCAGTCTCCAGATCTCAACCCCATAGAAAATCTTTGGAGGGGGTTGAAAATCTGTGTTGCCCAGCGACAGCCCCAAAACATTACTGCTCTTGAGGAATGGGCCAAAATACCAGCAACCGTGTGTGAAAACCTTGTGAAGACTTACAGAAAATGTTTGACCTCTGTCATTGCCAACAAAGTGTATATAACAAAGTATTGAGATGAAATTTTGTTATTGACCAAATACTTGTTTTCCACCATAATTTGCAAATAAATTCTTTAAAAATCCTACAATGTGATTTTCTGGATTTTTTTTCTAATTTTGTCTCTCATAGTTGAGGTATACCTATGATGAAAATTACAGGCCTCTCTCATCTTTTTAAGTGGGAGAACTTGCACAATTGGTGGCTGACTAAATACTTTTTTTCCCCACTGTATACTCTTTTTTTTATCGTAAATAAAAGAGGAACAAAAATAAACAAATAAAAAAAAATTAAATAAATAAACAGAACAGAACAGCACATAAAATAAAAATTAAAAAAGGTCTTTCCCCTATCAAGACCACATTTAATTTGCAAATAAATTCTTTAAAAATCCTACAATGTGATTTTTCTGGATTTTTTTTTCTAATTTTGTCTCTCATAGTTGAGGTATACCTATGATGAAAATTACAGGCCTCTCTCATCTTTTTAAGTGGGAGAACTTGCACAATTGGTGGCTGACTAAATACTTTTTTTCCCCACTGTATACTCTTTTTTTATCGTAAATAAAAGAGGAACAAAAATAAACAAATAAAAAAAAATTAAATAAATAAACAGAACAGAACAGCACATAAAATAAAAATTAAAAAAGGTCTTTCCCCTATCAAGACCACATTTTAATTTTTTTCATTATAATAAGCATGTGAAAAGGAAATTACAGTGTTTGTATCAAATCAAAAACACACAGTCACACTTTATGACATTAACCACAAACAGGAACCACAAAGAATGGATCACATTAGTGTATAAAATGGAATATATCGTTAATCTTACACACACACACACACACACACACACACATACAGTATATATACACACATTTTGTGCAGCAAAATAAACGTACAAATATTATTGCATTACAGACCATCTATATTTCTCCATGTAAAGGAGGCAGTATGATATCCATACAAATGACAGACTAATACTCATTATATATTTCAGTAAATCCTTTGCAAATCTAAGATGGCAGCACACGCAATGAGAGCCAATTCAAAGCAGCACTGTCAACTACACTTGACAACTGTGATATCTATAATGTATGAGTCTCCATTTCTGTGGTGAGGAACTTGTGCTGGAAAACACAAAGATGTGTTTGTGCGTGTGTATGTGTGTTGAAGAAGAATGAAAGGAGCACTATCAATCATTTGACTCATCAGTGCATTAATGTCTGTGTGCTTGTCAGCATGTGTGTGTGCTTATGTGATGAGATCAGGCTCATCTCTATGTCATTACGGAGCAGCTCATAGGTTATCAGGGGAGGTGAGAGCTATTTATAAAGCCTCTTTCCTTTTCCTTCCTCTCTCTCACACTCTTTTTCTCTGCACATGCTGTTCCTAACACATGTTCTCTCTCGTTCTCTCTTCCTACCATCTCTCTCTTCCCTTGACCAACTTGTCAAGGTGGGGTGGCAGACAAGCATTTATCCTAGACACTGTACATTGACAGTCTGCAAACACATACACCTACGTATGGATGCAAATTCACATGCATGCTGCACGTCCTCACACGCTGGTAATATTTTGGCCTACACAATAATTGTGGAACCAATGGGGCACATACATCAAATAACCCATCAAAAACAGTCGACACATAATTTACTTCAGACTTTCTTCAGACACCAATTTCACTTCTTTTAGGAATCACATTCATAACATTCATTTAGAAGATTCACTTCTTTTAGGAATCACATTCACATCGACTGAACATACAAAATCTCCTCCAGGACTCCTTGACCACTAAATCAGTATCACACTCTCACTAGTGCTACTGTATGTACAGTAGTACAAGAACTACTAGATTTGCTGGTCCAAAGTGACCAATACCTAACCTACTGTACAGTTTGACCTACTGCAGTGGTTCTCAACCTTTTTAACTTGTTTGACCTTTTTGACTTATTGACAAAGGTCCACCATTGTCTACAACAATATTCAAACACACCCTAGGACTATTTATTTATTTAATGCACTTTAATGTATGTAAACTCCTGGTAAATAAATAAATAATTAAATAAATAACTAAATAAAAACGTAAAAATGTATGTAAATTCTGCAATCAGCTATCAGATTGTCTTGAGAACCCTGATTGCTACTGTGAATGCAATTATTGCATTTGTATATTTTCACACAAGTGCTCTTCAGTGCTTGTCTGTTTAAGTAATTGCAGTGTACACGTTTGTGCTTTCTTAGAATTTGCTTTGATAAAAAAAGCATCTAATAGAATATAATAGCAAATGTAAATGTAATATCCTCCAGACATTCTGATTCAGAGAAATGAATGGAGCATATACACACAAACACAATTATCTGATGTGTTTTTGATTTGCTATTCATTTAACGCTTAACATATGCCAAGTTAACATTTTGAAAAATAGCTCGAAACAAGCTATAAATCTAGCAAAAAGCTATTAAATCCTCAAAATCTTTGGGAGTTTATTTACTGTGCAACTTGCAAATGTCATTACATAGTTGGTCACTCACTCAGTGATTTCCTCTGTAACCGTATGTTCCACCTGTAGACGGGAGTTCACCTCAATGAAGTAGTGTTTTCCATGCTTGTCCACCAGGAACTCCACAGTGCCTGCGTTCTCATAACCCACCTATGGAAAATATTTAAGAGTTGCAGTGTTAGCACGAAAAACATTTAGCATGTGAGCATATGTTGTTTATGGACCACTTTAAACATCCTTAACACACACAGCTCTACTAAAATTAGGTGTGTTGGAAGTGAACATCTAGTTGAGTACCTCATAAGTCTAGTTCACGAATGGGCTGTTTCTGTCCTGCAGAGTTTAGTTCCATCCCTAATCAAACGCACATGCCTGTAATTTTAAAGCAATCCTACAGACATAGGTTAGATTTTTCTGTATTAGGTGTGTTTGATTAGGAATAGAGCTAAACTCTGCAGAACAGTGGCCCTCCGGGACCAGAGTTACCTATCTCTGGTATAGTTCACACTGCACTGTGCTTTGGAAGGCATCCAGTAAAATGGGTTGCCAAGTTAAGACATGATACAAGAACCCAACAGATCAGCTCCACAGCATGCAATAATCAAAAGATGCTTTCTGTTAGAAACTAGAAATAGTGGTAACAATGTCAGATATTTTGATATGGAAATTATGAGAAGATGAGTAAGTTTGAGAACTTTATTTACATGTGCAGGTATCCCCTGGGGCTTCTGACTGAGCTCCCAGTGGAATGACAATTTTAACCTAACATGATAAGCAGAGATTTCGTTTAAAAAGCCCAAACTTTCCCTCTTAAATCTCTCAAGCTTGTAGAAAAAAAACCCTCAGGTGATTGGTTAATTCTGCTGAACAGCGTGGTGCCAGTGGAAGGAAGCAAAGAGGCTTCTGGTAAAAGCCATGAAAACAGCAGGACTGCTGGTCTTGACACCAGCCAAAAACACAACCCATAGAGCAGGAGATGTGTATGAGATATAGAGACAGACATCCTAGGGGAGATGAAGACAGTCTCACATTAAACAAGAGACGAAAACAGAAGGAGACAAAGATACAAGAATCCACTTCTTCTAAAGTCTGCAACTCTCTTCTCTTTTTCTGGTGTCTTCTCTTTCATAAACACTCATTCAGGCTACTTGGATACACTGAAGGGATTGAAAATAATCTGGTGCCAAAATTCACTGTAATCTGATCCAATTTCTCCCCACAATTCAGCGTTGCCTACTAATCCCGCATTGGAATGAGCTTGCCAAAAGCAGATGCTCACCCACACAAACAACACAAACACAAATATACACACACATATAATTTCAAACATAGCTTTGTAAACTTACTCAGACATATCACAATATTTATCACATATACATGGACATAAATCCACACTTTTAGATGCTTTACAGAAACAAACAGACTTTTAAACTGCTGTGACGCTGACTTGACAACATTAATTCACTCTTTTACTCAGCTCTCGCCCTTTTTCCATTCATCCCTCTTTCATGCATCATTCCATACCCCATGTCAATCGTGCCAGGAGGATTTTAGGCTTTTTAATCTAAACCGACTAACATGACCATGAGAAGAGGGTTCAAACCGATGTTAGCTAAACCACTAGAGAGGAAAAGAGAGAGAAAAATGAATGAATCAATGAAAGAACGTATGGGTGACTGAACAAACAAATAAATCAATGAATGAATAAAAAAAAGAATGAATTAACGAATTCTGGAAAGTCTTAGGTAAAACCACAAGGGTTTCTTCATGTAGAAAACAAATCTATAATTTTCTGTCAGTTTTCAGGGTGCTGAATTTGTAATCGGTAATTTGTAAACCGTTTCTCCATACATACACAAAATACTTTGCGATGTCAATGCAAATAGATTAAATTGCACCCACAAAGTGATTTATCAAGCCTGAATGTCGCTTCAGAACCTGCAACTGCATGTACAAATTAATACCACCGGAAGGCAGGAATTGATCTGATTTATGTAGGATACACATGTGGCTACTGTCATTGTGGCAACATGGAAAATTATGAGGATATTTAGATTTACCCAATGATGCTAGTCTTCTGATACGCACTAATATGACATGATTTTTTTTCTTAAGCAATTGATTTATTCAAAATCATAACTGAACTTCAAGCCGTTTCATGTAAAATTATGTATATATTCATTTAAATAAATATACTATAACTGGTTTTGATAAAAATGCATAGAACACGTATATTTATACAATAAATCATATTATATTCATCTATTATTCTATACATTAATATACATCATATAAATGGACATTCTTGAGTCATACATCAGAGTTAGCCTAAATAACGCTGTAAAATCAATCCAAACTCAAACTAAACAACAATAAAACCTAGACATGTCATAGCTAGAGAAACATAATAATTTACACCAGTGGTTCTCAATATTTTTGACTTCAAGGCTCCCCTTTATCTATATAACACAATATTCAAAGGCAATCCTAAAATAATATGTACCTCTTGGACGTTCGTTCTAATAAAAATAAATGTAAAAAAATATGGTGTGAGTTAAATGTTCTACTTCTATATTTTTAGTATATGTTTTAGTATTTTAATTAAGATTATGTTAACATAACTAATTTATAAAACGGTTAGATCCAGTCCTTGATTCTGATTGGTCAACAGCTGTGTTTTATTCACGATAAAGCATGGCTGTGACTGCCTTCAGCCAACGGTTCTCTGTATCACTGCGCAAAACCTTTAACAACCATCCTTAGTAACATAAACAATCAATATAGTTCCAGAACTATATAGAGATCTCCTTATGAACAATGACCACTGACTGTTGAGCAGGTGAAGTTTTGTATCGAGCAAGATTAAGGAGATATTTTCTTGTCAAATAAATAAAGGTCAAAGAGAATTATTAAAGGGGTCATAAGATGCTATTTAAATTTTTCCTTTCTCTTTGGAGTGTTACAAGCTCTTGGTGCATAAAGAAGATCTGTAAAGTTGCAAAGACTAAAGTCTCAAATCCAAAGAGATATTCTTTATAAAAGTTAAGAGTCAACCATGCCTACCTAAAACAAGCTCGCTCTAACATGCCCCCACATGTCTACGTCACGATGTGGGAAGATTTGCATAACACCACCCAAATGTTCACGCAAAGAAAGAAGGCGTAACTTTTATTCTCGCTGTAGTATTGTTGTTGCCGCCGCGGCCATGTTGTGAAGGTGCTGTGTGTTTCATTGTGAAAGCGAAACTACTTTGTTTGGCCTTCCAAAAGAGGACGATATCTGCTTCGTCATGCCTGGAGCTGATCCGTGCTGGTCGCTGAGGAAATACATCAACTTCATGCTGTGGATCGCCGGATCGGCTTTCACCATGGACGAAGCGGAGTCCATCCCAGGATCGCCACATCTCACTCACTCTAGGCCGCCGGCTGCCGGACGCTGCTCACTCTAGCCCACTGTGTGTGACGCTGTGTTTCATTGTGAAAGCGAAACTACTTTGTTTGGCCTTCCAAAAGAGGACACGACTAGAAATCAGTGGTTAAGTTGTATTTACAACACTGTTCCAGAACAGTTCAACCCAAATATTCAGATGTGTCCAGTGCATTTTATGGAGGACTGTTTCCTGATCCTGGTAGAGTAGACTACAATGCCGGCTGTTCTGACTCACAGACTGTAAGTAAGTTTTTATATTTAAAGAATTTGCCACTGATGATTCAAACGCGAGTTTTGAGCAGTCTAGAGTACCGTTTGTAGTTTGTCATTTCTCCGATCTCAAATGCAGACATGGTTTTATGTTTACGTGGCACGATGCAATGTGTAATGTCTTAATTACTTAATTTTAGGGAATTAATTATTATTAATTCATTCAGGTTTTGAGAGGAATCGGATCTGAAAATTCGAGGTCCACCTGATTAAAACTGATTTCAAATTTGATAGTTTACACTCTATCAGCTACTCGGCCAGCGAGACGTTAATGTCAGTGTATATTACCAATTTGACTATATGTATTTTCCCTGGTCACGGGCTAATACGTTCTTTGATAATTTGTAAGCTCTTAGCGAGGTAACATGATCTTTGACAAGGGTTTGACTTTAAAATTATATGACACCAGACAATGATTCTTTATAAATGAAACACAAATTTTATTGGCTATTCTAGATTACATTAAACTAAGCTAAAACATACACATACATACACATACACACACATACACACAGAGATTCAAGGAAATTAGTTAATGGAGTTGCATGAAGTTTTCTTGGTTCTAACACTCGTTTCCACGAGTGGTTTTAAATTCAGCCTGAGAGAATTCACAAAGCAGATATTTTGTCTTAAGTTTACTGCTTAAATCAATCATCAGCGTCAGTTCAGCAGATAGAAGATTTTGTTCGTTTACTTGCGTTTTGCTTTGGGTGACAGCTGAAAAGCTGAGTCGTTCCTCGTGGCTACTGGAGGGGGTTCCGTTGCTGATTGGCTGTTGATTTGGCACCGGAATGACGTTTGGATGACGTCCTTTTGGGGTAGCCCTCATTGGATTGGTTGCTTGCCGGGTTACGGAAGAGGCTTGAGCAGTTCTGCTGAAAAGTCTGAGTTTGCAAGGCTTTGAGTTCTTTGAAGTTCGCAGTCGCGGAGTTTCAGCTGAAGTGTTTGAGTTCTGGAGTTTCGCTGTGCAATGTTATGGCATGGGAGCGCTTGTAGCGCTCACCAAAGTGAAAGCCAAAGGTCTTGAGAGAGAGAGAGAGCGAGCGAGAGCGTAAGACACGAGAGGGCTTTGTGTCCAATTTTAAGCAGGCTGACTTTTGTCCAGCCCACAGGTCGTTGTCCAATCAGATGGTGTCTTAGCCACGCCCCATACCGTTTCTTATCATGCATGAATCGCATGCTGTTTGTGGGGAGTATTTCTGCAGGTTTTGTTAACTTCTATAAAGTGTCGTACAACACACACCGATCAAAATAACAGCTTTTCACTCATTTCAACAATCTGCATTTGTCGTGCCCATTCATTCAAGATTAAACTTCACATATTACACACCTTTTAATAATCGTGGTTTCTATATGTTGTGAACGAACCTTCCAGTTCTGATACAAAGAAAGCTTTGTTGTCTCCTGATTGAATTAGTTTAGATCTCATGAGTAGATGAGACAAGACTGAC